TGTAGGCTGTTGGATCAGAGCTACAATCTCCAAGGCCTATTTATCACAGGCGCTTCCTGTTCCTAGTGGAATTACCGCACATTCTACAAGGAGTGCGGCCACCTCAGCAGCCTGGGCTACCCAGGCTCCGATAATTGATATCTGCCAAGCAGCTACATGGGCGTCTCCGTCCCCCTTTATCCGCCATTACAAAATTGATGTCTTTGCTTCAGCAGAAGTGTCCTTTGGCAGGCGAGTCCTTCAACAAGTGGTTAGAGACCCAGAGGAGATTCTGGCCCAGATGGAGTCCCTCCCGTAGGACAGGCCATGCTTTGGTATGTCCCACTCTGGATGCTCGCAGCAGCTCTATGGAGAATGGGCATTGGTCCTTACCTGATACGCCCTTTCTCGTCGAGCTGCGTAGAGCATCCAGCCCCAACCTAATTTGTCCGTCTGGTGGGGAATCCTGTTTCGGTCAATGATTCAGGCAGTTTATAGTTGAGAGTTGCTCAAACGTTAAGATGAGGGGATGCAATTCTGTCTTCTCGTCTTCATAAAACTGGGGAACGCTACGGTGGAGTCACGTGGAGGAGGAGGAGCGTTCCTCAATTATAGCTCAGCCTGTGAGAGCGAAGACTGGAGCACCTCCCACTCTGGATGCTCTACGCAGCTCGACGAGAAAGGGCGTATCAGGTAAGGACCAACGCCCATTTTATTTGCGCAAAAGGTTCGGAGTATTAGCATGGCAAATTCTGAACCCCCAGCTCTTCCTGAGACATTATTTTTATACCCATCATGACCTCAGCTTAGACCTGGGTGTTCCTTTTATTACATTTTACCAAATAAGGACAATATCGTATACATCTCTATGAAGGAAATATAGAGGAAATGAGAAGTACAATTTTAATTGCTCAGTTATCTTACACCATCAGCTATTTTCCATGTCCACCCTTGTTCACCGTAACGTGGATAGTTCCAGTTCCTGAGTTCAGCAACTTTGTGGTTTTCACAATGTTATGTTAAGCAAGGCTTTGGGGAAATCAGGGACTTTTGCTAAATATGACCTATTGACTTGTGCTAAATATTAAAAATGCTGTATGTGTTATTTTTCAACTGCTTCAAATTACCCTATTAACACTATAATTCTATGGTCTACATCACATACTAACTAAGCCATGATTCCCAACTACCCCTTACTCCTCCCGTTCCTGCAGTTGCTCTCTCTTGATTTATTTACCCACCCTGGCAAAAACTGTCTTTATGAATTTATTAGTATGATGTTCCTCTTCATTAATGCTGCATTGCCGATTGTGGGTATGTAATGAAGTGTTTGTATTTCCCCCTCATCAATCTAAACTAGTCAGCGTGCAAATGTCATCTGGTAGCAATGTTTGTTTTTGTTTCATCTCCTTCAAGCCCTTAATCTTCCAATGCTGTCGAGGGAGTCGTTTCACAAAGCCTGACAGGCTGCCCTCTCTACCACTGGTCTCCCTGGAAATGAAACTGAGGAGATTAATATCTTATATTTCATTAGCGTTGTTATGTTTCCGTTTATGTGGAATTTTTCTTTGAAACCGTTGACATAATCGTGGAGCATTGGACTTCATTGCTATTAACCCACGATGCTTCTGCAATGGGATACCCCTTCCATTTTATCAAATATTGTAACTTTCCCCTATTCTTTCGGGAATCTAATACTTCCTCTACCTCGTATTGATCGTCTTTTATTGGACCAGGAAGTGTTTGTGGTGAGTCTATATCTTTATATATACATTTTAATAAACTGTAACGAAATACAGGATGTATTCCTTTATATTGTGATGATAGTTTCAATTGTACAGTCACTGGATTAATTTCCTTTACAATCGGGAATGGTCCAATATATTTTGGCCCTAATTTCTCACAAGGAAAACCCAGATTTATACACTGCTCAAAAAAATAAAGGGAACACTTAAACAACACAACGTAACTCCAAGTCAATCACACTTCTGTGAAATCAAACTGTCCACTTAGGTAGCAACACTGATTGACAATTTCACATGCTGTTGTGCAAATGGAATAGACAACAGGTGGAAAGCATAGGCAGTTAGCAAGACATCCCCAATAAAGGAGTGGTTCTGCAGGTGGTGACCACAGACCACTTCTCAGTTCCTATGCTTTCTGGCTGATGGTTTGGTCACTTTTGAATGCTGGCGGTGCTTTCACTCTAGTGATAGCATGAGACGGAGTCTACAACCCACACAAGTGGCTTAGGTAGTGCAGCTCATCCAGGATGGCACATCGATGCGAGCTGTGGCAAGAAGGTTTGCTGTGTCTGTCAGCGTAGTGTCCAGAGCATGGAGGCGCTACCAGGAGACAGGCCAGTACATCAAGAAACGTGGAGGAGGCCGTGCTTGCCAGAGGTAGCCTGGAGGCCACACACACTACTGAGCCTCATTTTGACTTGTTTTAAGGACATTACATCAAAGTTGGATCAGCCTGTAGTGTTTTTTTCCACTTTAATTTTGAGTGTAACTCCAAATCCAAACCTCCATGGGTTGCTAAATTTGACTTCCATTAATAATTTTTGTGTGATTTTGTTGTCAGTACATTCAACTATGTAATGAACAAAGTATTTAATAAGAATATTTCATTCATTCAGATCTAGGATGTCTTATTTTTGTCTTCCTTTTATTTTTTTGAGCAGTGTATATTTAGTGGACAGATATACGAGATCTCCAGTGTGGAAAGGTTTTTGTTCACTTCTCTGTTTGTCGAATTGTTTTTTACATGCAATGAAGGCATCATGTAAGGCTTCTCTTACATATTTCCATGATTGTTGTATTTGTTCATACCTTTGCTTCTGCGTTACTGGTGTCTCTGTACTATGTGGCAATTCTGGAATTGGTAGTAACTCACTTCCATATACTATTTGAAATGGGGTATATCCTGTGCTGCTATGTATAGCGTTATTATAAGCAAACTCTGCGAATGGTAATTCAGACCAATCGTTTTGTTGATATGATACATAACACCTTAGATATCATTCTATGGCTGCATTGGCTCGCTCTGCAGCGCCGTTTGTACTCGGGTTATAAGCGGTACTTAACCCCTGCTGTGAGCCTATCATTTTCACAAACTCTCTCCAGAATCTGGCTGTAAATTGTACCCCTGTCTGAAATAATACATCTTGGTACACCATGTAAGCGATATATATGTTTTAGAAACAAACAAATTTCTTTGCAGAGGGTATGCCTTTACATGGAATGAAATGTCCCTGTTTTGAGAACAGATCTATTACGGTCCATATTACGGTGAACCCATGACTACAAGGTAAATCTACAATGAAGTCCATGGCAATATCCTGCCATGGTTTAACTGGATCAGACACCTTTTGTTATCGTCCTAAAGGTTTTCCAGGACGTGCCTTACTACTAGCACGTACTTCACATTTTCTAACGTAACGTTCAATATCTCACCTCATACCTGACCACCAAAATTGTCTGTCTTTCTATATCTATATCAGTCTCTCTCTCTCTCTTTTTTTCTATATCTTTCTATGTCTGTCTGTCTATCATCTGTCTATCATCTATCTATCCTATATACTTTGGATATTATGGTGATGAAAATAACCAAAATGTGATTTAAAAAATTCCTAAAGGATTCTAAAAAGAGTGAAGAAAATCTGCATACATTTAAATTTTTCTCCTTGGCACTCTAATAAACCTTATAGTTTGCTTATGGGCATGCAAGATTATTTTCTACCACTGTGTTTGCAAATAAGGCCTTAGGGGCATTATACTATCAGATGTGGGTTGTTTTTTCTACTTGGTTTTTATATTGTAGTATATATTAAAAGTACACATCTGTGGGAAGAATGAATCAGAATAGAGCTTTAAGGGATCTTGGAGGTCCTCTAGTCCAACCCCTTACTCAGCAGGAGACCTTTAGAAAATAATAGAGTTCGAAGGGATCTTGGAGGTCTTTCTAGACCAACGCCCTGCTCAAGAAAGAGACCTATACCATTCAGAATAAGAGAGTTACAGAATTGAAAGGGACCTTGGAGATCTTCTAGTCCAATCCCTTCCTCAAGCAGGACACCCTTACAGAACCAGAGAATAACAGAGTTGGAAGGGATCTTGGAGGTCCTCCAAGCAAGTCAAACCAACTGATTCTACTTAATTTTAGGGTCCTTGCTCCTCTCTGGGCTTGGTGGTTTTCTTTCAGACCTTTCATGACTCAGCTAGGTGACATCACCAGTGATCAACGAGAGTGGGATTTGCCAAGTGAAGGAGGAGGAAGAGGAAGAAGAAGAAAGGGGAAAGGACTGTAGAGTCCTTGGTCCACTCTGAGCTTGGTGGTTTTCTTGTAGACGTTTCATGACCCAACTAGGGAACATCATCAATGCTAGAAGGGAGGGGAGGAGGAGGGTAGAAAGAACTACAAGGGAAGGGCGGTTGTGGAGAAGAGGTGGGTGGTGAGGACTACAAGGGAGGGGGGATTGTGAAGAGAAGGGTAGAGGAGGGTAGAGAGGACTACAAGAGAGGGGGGTTTGTGTAGGAGGAGGTGGGTGGAGAGAAGGAGGGTAGCGAGGACTACAAGGGAGGGTTTTTTTGGAGGAGGTGGGTGGTGAGGACTACAACGGAGGGGTTTGTGGAGAGGAGGGTGGCAAGGACTACAAGGGATTGTGGAAAGGAGGAGGAGGGTGGCGAGGACTACAAGGGAGGGGATTGTGGAGAGGAGGGAAGGTGGAAAGAACTACAAGGGAGGGTTTTTTTGGAGGAGGTGGGTGGCGAGGACTACGAGGGAGGGGGTTTGTGGAGAGGAGGGTGGCGAGGACTACAAGGGATTGTGGAGAGGAGGAGGAGGGTGGTGAGGACTACAAGGGAGGGGGTTGGGGAGGAGGAGGAGGGTGGCGAGAACTGCAAGGGAGGTGGGGTTTGCAGAGAGGTGGAGGAGGACTGTGGGGTCTTTGGTGCTCCTTGAGCTTGGTGGTTTTCTTGCAGAAGTCTTGACCCAACTAGGGAACATCATCAGTGTTAAGAGGCAGTGGATTTTGTCCTTTTTTATTTATTTATTTTAATGAATGAACTCCACTCCCTCTTAGACCTGATGACATTCCCTAGTTGGGTCATGAAACGTCTACGGGGGGGCGGGAACCCCACCAAGCCCAGCCATGGTGACCAACATTCTCTCCTTTTGATATACCCCTTCAGTGGCCTTTTTCTGTCTTTTCCAAGAAAAGAATCCCACCCACCCGGATTGCGTGATGGAGTCCCGCCGGCCGTTTCCTCTTCTCCCTGAGCAGACTTTTGACCAGGAGGTCAAGCAAAACATGGCCGAACTCTCTCTCTGGACCGTTGTGGCCACCATCCAAGCGGTGGAGAGGAAAGTCGACACGCATGCCAGCCGGCTGCTGAACCTGGAGCGCCGTGTGATGACCAATGAGAAGAAGTACGTGGACTGTGAGAACGCCGTGGTGGACTTCGGCAACCAGATGGAGTGCAAGCTGATGGCACTGGGCACCCTCATCCAGGAATACGGGCTGCTCCAGAAGAGGCTGGAGAACATGGAGAACCTCTTAAAGAACCAGAACTTCTGGATCCTCAGGCTTCCCCCAGGATCCAAGGGGGAGACACCCAAGGTGGGAGAATTTGGGACAGGAGTCGCTTGGTTTTTTCCATATAGCTGCTACGAGTGTCCAGGTTGGGAGGAGCTCCAGTCTCGGCTCTCACAGGCTGAGCTTGAAATTGAGGAACGCCTCTCACCATCATGTGGTCCTCTGGGCGCTCCCCAGTTTTTAGCTCAGCCTCGTGGCAGTCAGGCTGTTTTTCTCTCACCTCTGGTTGTTCAGCAATTTTCTGCATTCCTCAGAGTTTTCTTTTTACCTACAGTGGACCCTTTCTCAGCAGCGCAAGGGATTTGAGGTTTGAACTCCTTGGGAGTTTCTCTTACAGGGGGGAGCATTTATTTTCGTTTTCTCCAGGGGTGGTATCTAGAGCTTCGAGCGTCGCCCCCCCCCCCCCCCCCCCCCCCCTCCCTCGTCGGCCGCTGTCCGCTCCGTGCGAAGCCGCTTCGTTTCTCTGTTTTCTGCCTGGTCCTTTATTCGCCGTTTCCCCCCCACGAACGCCTTTAGCTCAGGGAAACTCACTTCCCTGTCTCTCCCCATGGTTTTTGCGGCCTGCTGGCCTTCTATTTTCCTTCTGGGAGACTACCGCCGCTGGGGTTTGCCTCCAATATTTCGTGGCCTCCATTTTGGCCGCCGCGTGACGCCCGCCATCTTGGGTGCGTCCAGGAGTCGCCGCCATCTTGTTTGTGGCAGCATGGCCGTCCGCCATTGCTAGAGGCCTAGCTGCAGGCTGCGTTATTTCTGATTTACTGGGCAGATCCTCGGACTGCCCAAATCTCTGTACCTTTGAAAACTCTGCCTAGGTACTTCCTCAAGAAATAAGGGTCCGTTGGCTCCGCAGCCTCCCCCCCCAGCAAGGTGAGGTAGCAGCTCTGCCATCCCCCTTCCCCGGTCCGCCCGGCAGGGGCAGCTGCTTGGCGTTCATTTTCCGGCTGATTGGCTTCTGGGCTAGGCCCTGCTCCTCAACAATTTTTCTAAAAAATTTTTTTGATCAAAAGGGGGGTGCGAAACGAGAGCTGGGATCCCCGGCCTCTACGTAGGCCGCATCCAGACGTGCCAACCGTCTTGCATTAATTCAAAATTTCCTTTTTTCTCTCTCTCCAGATGGCAGATGACAATACATCTCGTGGCACTTCTTTGAAGGCCAAGTCAAAATCTCATCACCTGCGCAAACAGGCACAGGAGGTATCCAAAGCCTCCCAGAGGGATGCCCTTAGGCGGCACAGGGCCCTTGAGAAGGAGATTGACAGGCGGTCTAGAGAGTCAAGCTCTGTGCCCCTGGCTCCTTCCACTCCCACTCCCTCAACCTCCACCCACCCTCCTCTTCCCTCCTCCCCTGCTCCTTCCTCTTCCTCACAGCCTAGACAGGCCCCTGAGGCCACCTTTACTCCCACTGCTGCAGGCCTGCGCCCGGAGGAGTCTCATCCACCCCCCACGGTGGAGATCCCTGAAAACCTGAAACAATGGATGGAGCTGGCCATCTGGCAAGGGATAGCGCAAGAGCTTCAGCAGCTGGCCGGACTGGCCCCTCGGCCTGTGGCCCCTGAGTCTCAAGCACCATCAGTTCGATCGCTCTCCGGATCAGCGGTCTCGTACGGTCAGGTAGCATCCCACGGGGATTTGCCCTTGCCTTTGGGGATGGAGGAGATGGAGACCCAGGAGCCCAGGGGACCTACCCTCTTTGGGGACGAGGAAGACCTCGATTTGGGGTCCATCATGGGCAGTGAGCTCTTCTCGGGAGCAGACCCCCTGGAGGGGGACATGTCGGAGGACGAGGGCCTCACTCCGGACCAGCCCGCATTTGTGGGGCTGTTTAAACCGCACCTGTTTAGGTCTCTCCTATTCAAGGCCAAGAATACCTCTGGCCTGACCCCTCCCACTCTACCCAAGCCAGCGGCATCGGGGGAACCTCTCGACTCCATCTTTTCCCAGCCCGTGGTGGAAACTGATGTGATCCCTGTTCCACCTATCTTTTCCGACCTGGTCTCCAGGCAACTAGCCTCCTCGGGGCCCCCTCCCCCTCCCAACACTCAGGACAAGCGGTTTTTCAACCTTGACCCGCAGTTCTCCCTCTTGCTCGATCCCCCTCCTGTGGACGAGCCCATTGTAGGCCTAGCTTCCCGTTCAGCTCCTAGCGAGGCCCTCGAGGCACTCAAGCCCGAGGACAAATGAGCTGAGCTGGCCCTGCGCCGCGCTCACCTTTCTGATGCTTGGGCAGTCAGAGCTTCCACTGCCGTGTCCTTTTTCATTAGATCTTCTATCAAGTGGCTGCAACAGCTCAAACAGCATGTCCCCGCAACCAACCTCAGAGCGCAGCAGGACATCGCTAAGCTCACGGCCGCGGCCGAGTTTTCGGCGGACGCCACCTTTCAGGCTGCAAAATTTTCTACCAGGGCCATTTCGTCCCAGGTTACCGCCCGCCGCCTGCTCTGGCTCCGCCACTGGCAAGCGGACGTCAAAAACAAGGCTAAGCTAGTGTCAGCCCCCATTTCTGGGGGGAAACTTTTTGGACCGGCTCTCGATCCATTCCTGGCCGAGACCCGTAACAAAAGCAAGTACCTCCCCTCTCTTTCTCGGAGGACTGACCTCAGAGGTCCCTCTCCCTCTTTTCGCCAAAGTTCTTCCCGTTCCTCCTACTTCCCCCCCAGGTACTACCAATCCCCTTCCTACAGACCTCTCGACCGGCCGGACTTCGACAGGTCCAGAAGAGGTACTTCATCCAAGCAGCCCTCCCGGGGCTCCGGAGGCAGGCCGTTCCGTCGTTCCTGATAATGCAGCCGCCCCATAGGCAACTGCCTCAAACTAAAAAAAAAAAAAAGAAAAAAAAAGAAGAAGAAGGCCCCTCTTTATGTTTTCGTTCCCCTTGGTCTTCCCTCCGTTCCCAGGGTGTTAACCGAGGCTTGGGGTGGCTCTTCCGCCCATTTGTGATCCTTCTCTGTCCGGCTTCAGGTTGCCTGGACGACATCCTCAACCCCCTCCATTTGAACCCTTCTCTTGGGGGCAGTGATTTCACTGCCCGGGAACCGGTTTTCCCTGTCTCCGGACAGGTGGCCTATTCCACCAATCTTACAGGTTAGGAAGGCAAGAATAATTTTCCTTTTCAGACTTGCCTAAACTGTTGGGGAAGCTTATTTCATATATCTGCATTATCCCTTGAGTCCCTTTCTTCCAGGTCTCTCAATGATTTCTGCTGCCGTACCAACGTTCAGAAAGGAACAACTCGCGACTTCGGGTCGGAGTTCCCCTAAGAGTCCTCTTGTCCCTCCCTTGATGGACCGAGCCGGCCATCAACAAGGGTCACTATCTCAAGGTACCCGACAGGCTATCCGTCATCACGGACGCAAGGCTACTCGGCTGGGGCGCTCTTGCCCTCCTCATCTTGTCCCAGGGCAGCTGGTCGGCAACAGATCTACCCTGCTCCACAGATTAGCTGGAGATCCTCGCTGTGCACCTGGCCTTTTCGCAGCTTGCTACCCCAGGTACGTGGACCTCTCGTTCCAGTCCTCACATACAACACCACCACAAAGACACATGTATCCAGTCAAGAGGGCACTCAGTCAGCAAGGCTCATGAGGGAAGCCGAACGCTTTTGCTGTTGGGTGGAACCGAATCTGGCCTCCATCAGGGCAGGTCACATATCGGGAACATTGCTCATCTAAGCAGCTTGGCTCAGTAGGGCCACTCTGGCCCAAGCAGAAGGGCCCCTTCCACCCCTCCCTTTTTTCAAGGAGGCAGTCAATCTTCGGGCTCCCCACAGTGTATCCCTGCGCACCCTCTCTCAACGCCCAACCACCTGGATTCTTCCCCAGATACCCCCCTCCAAGGGGCGGGGAATCACAATGCCCCCTGTTGCCCTTGGGCCCCAGGGCTCCTTCATGCCTCTCAGCCCCCTTTGGGTTCAGACGCCCTTGATTCGCGATCTTCCGTAACTTTTTGGGGGTTCCTCCTTGGAGACCCCCCCCCAGACAGGAGCCCCCTGTCCCGGGGTCCTCCACTACATCCGAACCCCCCATGGCCCCAACCAGCCGTCTGGGGGTCGAGCGGAACCACTTCAATATGCAGAATGTTTCCTGCCGGGTTATAACCACCCGTATATACGATGCTACGTGGGTCGCCTTCCGTGCCTGGGCCCTCAAGTTCCAAATTAACCCTCTCTCTCTCTTTCCATCGCTCAGATCCTGGAATTCATTCAGGAGGTCCTTTAACAAGGGACTGTCTACCACACCCTAAGGCTTCAGATCGCTGCCCTCGCAACGGTTGTCTCTTCGGACATTGGGGGTTCCATTTCCCATCACCCCCTTATCCGGGTTTTCCTCAGGGGAGCTCCCAATCTTCGCCCCCCGATCATACACCGTTTTCCGACCTGGGACTTCAACAGGGTCCTAGTCGTTCTTACCTAGCCCCCCTTTTGAACCCACTAGGGAGGCTTCCTTACAGTGTCTCACCCTCAAGACTGTTTTTTCTTGTGGCCATCTCATCCGCTCGTCGGATCTCGGAGATGGCAGCCTTCCCATTAGGCAGGACCTTTGCGTTTTTTTTTTTCACTCTGATAGAGTCGTCCCGACCCTACCTTCCTCCCTAAAATAAATTCAGTTTTTTTTCGCAGAGCTCAGGAGCTCACTCTCCCTAACTTCTGCCCCAATCCCTCTCGAGAGAGGGAGAGACGGTGGCACTCCCTTTATGTAAGGCGCGCTTTGAGAGTGTATATCAACGCACCCAGCCTATTCGTAAGTCAGAGGCCTTATCTGTGTCCTTCTAACCTGCTTCTCTTGGTCACAAGGTGACGCCCACAACCGTGGGCCGCTGGATTAGGGTCGCCATCACCAAAGCCTACCAGGCACAGTCCCCCCCCATGGGCATTATCGTCCACTCCACTAGAAGTGCGGCTACTTCTGCCGCATGGGCCACACAAGCCTCTATAGTCGACATCTGTAGGGCTGCCACCGGGGCATCCCCATCTCTCTTCATCAAGCATTATAAGATTGATGTATTTGCATCCGCCGAGGCTTCTTTTGACAGGCGGGTCCTTCAGCGGGTCCTCGAGGTTCCAGGGGAGGTTCCACTCCAGACGGGAGCCCGCCCGCAGGACTCGCCAAGCTTTGGTATGTCCCAACCTGGACACTCGTAGCAGCTCTATGGAAAAGGGGCGTTGGTTCTTACCTGATACGCTTCTTTTCGTAGAGCTGCATAGAGTGTCCAGCCCCACCCATTAGCCCGTCTGGTGGGGAACCTCGCTGTCCGACCAGGCAAACTAATACTCTTTAGCCAGGATGAGAATAGGGCCTTCCTTCTCGTCTTCGCAAAACTGGGGAGCACCCAGAGGACCACATGATGGTGAGAGGCGTTCCTCAATTTCAAGCTCAGCCTGTGAGAGCCGAGACTGGAGCTCCTCCCAACCTGGACACTCTATGTAGCTCTACGAAAAGAAGCGTATCAGGTAAGAACCAACGCCCCTTCTAGGTGGGGGTGGGGGGGATTTTTTGCAACGATGGGAGAACTTAATTTGGAAGGGTGTTAGAAAAATTGAAAAGGGATGTGGTGGCTCAGTGGCTAAGACGCTGAGCTTTTCAATCAGAAAAGATTGGCGGTTCGAATCCCCAGTGCTGCAGAATGTAGTGAGCTCCCATTACCTTCTCCCAGCTTCTAGCAACCTAGCAGTTCAAAAGCATGTAAAAAATGCAAGTAGAAAAATAGGGGCCACTTTGGTGGGAAGGGAGCAGCATTCCGTGCACCTTCGAAGGCATTTAGTCCTGCCGGCCACATGACCATGGAGACGTCTTCGTACAGCACCAGCTCTTCGGCTTTGTAATGGAGATGAGCACTACCCCCTAGAGCCGGAAACCACTAGCACAGATATGCGAGGGGAACCTTTTACCTTTACCTTTTTAAAGGAATTGAGATGGGGGGAGGGGGAGAGATCCTTGGTGCTCTCTGAGCTTGGGGGTTTTCTTGTGGATGTTTCATGACCCAACTAGGGAATGTCATCAGTGCTAGAAGAGGGGTTTGGGTAGAGGAAGAGGAGGAGGAGGAGAAGCACTACAGGGTCCTTGGTGCTCTCTGAGCTTGGGGTTTTTCTTGCAGATGTTTCATGACCCAACTCGGTAATGTCATCAGTGTTAGAAGGGAGAGGCATTTGGATAGAAGAGGGGGGAGAAGGAAGACAGGAAGACAATGAATTGGTGCTCTCTAAGCTTGAGAAACTCTAAGGTTTCTCTTGCAGATGTTTCATGATCCAACTAGGTAACATTATTAGTGCTAGAAGGGAGGGGGGTGTTGTGTAGAAGAGATGGAGGGAGGAGGAAGACAGTGGGGTCCTTGGTGGTCCCTGAGCTTGGTGGCTTTCTTGCCGATGTCTCATGACCCAACTAGGTAACATCAGTGAAGTGAGTGTGAGGTTTACTCCCATTTTATATTTCGTACTTGCCTTGCCAGAGGTGAGTTAAATCTGACTTGGAAGCCAGTTTTTTTAAAGATACCCAACTGCCTCCAGCAGAATTTAACAATGAGCCTTAATCATGGGGGCCCATTTGGACCCCAAAACAAAATGGCCTCTTTCCGTTTTTGGATTTCCGTGATGAAGTAAGCCCAGCCTGCCTCTTGCATATTGGCCTGGGCTGCTTTATATATATATAGGTCACGCTAAGCTAAGCTTATTTTAAGCCTAGATTGTTGGAATAAGGTAGCCTAGAGGTGGAGCTCTCACCTCACAATCAGGAGGCTGTGAGTTTGATCCTAGGAAGAGGCAGATATTTCTTTCTCTGGGCACGATGAGAATAATATCTGCTGAACAAAACTCCTCATTAGCAACAGGAAGGGCATCTGGCCAGTAAACACTCTTGCTAGCTCCATTCAGTTGCCCAGACTCCATCCTGCAAGGGATTATGGGGTCGTTAAAAGAAGATGACGATTGCTAGAATAAGCCACAGTTGGCTGGCTTAATCCCCAAATGCCAAGGTGTCAACTGAGATGATTGGTTGTAATAGGCCGAACTTGCCCTTTGTGTGAATCCCAAACTCCAAACACGCGTTAAGCTTGTTACGTGTGACGTGTCCTGGCAGCTGTGTTTTGACATTCCCAGCTTTTAAGGGTCATTTGAAAGGGCACAGACGGGAGCAAAATGGCAGCCCCTCTGTTCCTGGTGGCTTTTGTTCCAATTCTGACAAGTTGTATTCAATCCAACAAGTTGTGTGTTTGAGATGTTGGCTGGTTCAGCATTCACTCTCATCCCATTGTTGATCTTGAGTTGAGGTCTACTCCATCCGAAATATTCCAGGAGCTTGTGAAGGTCACTGCTAAGTAGACTTAGTGGCACCTGAATATCTGATGAACTTGTGCCTTCAAGGGACACAAGATTCCTCCATCTGATGAGACGTTCTCCTAGGTCTGGGTGTTGGCAACCTGTGGCTCTGGAGTTGCATGTGGCTCTTTGGGCCCTCTGCTGTGGCTCCCTGTTGGGTAATCCCACCACTGGCTGGCCCCGCCCCTCACCCTCCCCTCCCAGTCACTCCTTGCCTGGCCTGAGAAGGTAAAACACCAAAAACATAAATGAGAGGACGGGACGGAGGGATGGAGGGAGAGAGAGACACACACACATTTCCCACAGAAAACACCAGGAGCCACAAAACCTGGGTAGGTGTGGCAGGTGGTGTCATGTGAATGGGTGGGAGTGACATTGAGTTGGCCATGGCCACCCAGGTTTTGTGGTTCCCTGTGTTTTCTGTGGGAAACTGGTCCAAATGGCTCTTTGAGTGTTTAAGGTTGAAGACCCCTGTTAGGTGTACCTCCCATCCTTTTAGTTGAGATGGAGGAAATATGGACCACCCATCCCTCCAAACAATGCCAATTTTTGGAGCCCGGGTTGGTCCATCTGAGCACCAATAGCTCCTTCTAGAAGATCCAAACCCCATTAACCAATGTGCTTTCAGGTGCCCATAACTTTTGAAGACAACGCTGTCTACTTCTCAGAGCAGGAATGGGGCAACCTGGAGAAATGGCAGAAGGAACTCTACAAGAACGTGATGAAGAGTAACTACGAGTCACTGGTCTCCTTGGGTAAAAAAAAAAAAGAGCTTTTGCTCCTCATGGGTTGAAAACATGAATATTGGCTTCTTTGATTGAGGAATTGTCTAGATCAGAAGTATGGCAATTGTAAGGATTGCAGACTTCAATTCGTGAAATTCTGGGAGTTGAGGTCCACATGTAGCTAAGGTTGGACTTCAAGACTGGTCCCTAGAAGTCCCTCAGGAGAACATCTCGAGAACATTGCCATGATTTCCAATCCAATTCATCCAGTTCTCCTGTTTGCTTTCAGTTTCATTTTGAAGCTCCATCCTGGGTTGTTCTCATTTAAACCAAGGGTTAGGTAGGGTAGTTTGGACAGCTCTTCGACTCTCAAACTTGTCAAGAAAGTTGTAAATCAGGAGGACCTGTTGGGGAGGAAACAGAGCTTAATGTGAAGTTTGACAAGCGAGAGGGTGGGTTTGCCCATCGGAAATCATTTTAATGTCTCCGGCGTTTTTGCAATTGAATAGAATTTGGAAATTGAAAACAATTTGGAAATTGAAAACAATTTGGAAATTGAAAACAATTTGGAAATTGAAAACAATTTGGAAATTGAATATAATTTGGAAATTGAATACAATTTGGAAATTGTAATTTTCGGCTTCGTGACAGAGGGATTTGTAAGACGATAGGAAGCGAGGGACGGGCTGATTCCTCCTTCATGTGCCTTGAACCTTCTTCTCGGTTCCTATTGGATTTTCTGGTAGGGTTAGATTTTTATTTTACAGCTAGTCCTCAACTTAACCACAGTTCATTGAGTGACCATTCAAAGTTACAACATCCCTGAAAAAAAGGGACTTAGGACCATTTTTCACACTTAACAACCATTGCAGGGTCCCCGTGGTTGCATGATCCAAATTCGGACCCAGGGTCATGTGATTCCCCTTTTGCGACCAGAGAAAATGAAGTGTGCCGTCACCATGTGCTTTACTGCTCAACTGTTTTTGACTGTTACGGGAAACAGGAAACTCAACTTAGATTTTTCATTCCGATCAAGCTGATATTGCAAAGAGTGTGCTCTTTTCTCCAACATACTATGCCATCGCTAAACTGGTTCTTAACCGATGTCTTGCTTAGCAACATAAATTTTGGGCTCCATGGTGGTCATAAGTTGAGGACTCCCTGTATTTTTTTTAATGGAAGTGGGATGCTGCCAGCCCCATCTTATTTTTAAAAACACCTCCCAACCTAAAAGAGGGCTCCTAAGAGACTTGGCAACTAAACAGGGTAGATGGCTGAAGTACAGGTAGTCGTCGACTTAAAACAGTTCATTTAGTGACTGTTCAAAGTTACAATGGCACTGTAAAAAGGGACTTGTGGATGCTTTTCACACTTAACGGCCTTTGTAGCATTCCCCACGGTCACGTGATCAAAACAGATGCTTGGCAACTGACTCATACTTACCAGCATTGCTGTTAGGAATTCTGTTTATAGCACCAGAGAAAATTAAGTGTACTGTCACCATGTACTTTGCTGCTTGACTGTTTCTGACTGTTATGGGAAACAGGAAACTCAACTTAGATTTTTTTATTCCGATCCAAGCTTATCTTGCAAAGGGTGTGCTCTTTTCTCCAACAGACTATGCCATCGCTAAACCAGATCTTCTGTCCCGGATCGAACAAGGGGAACGTCCCTGCACCGAGGAAGAGGAGGCAGCAACAACGGACAGGGTGATACCTTTGGAACCCAGCCCAGGTAAGGAGGAAGGGACTAGAATCAGGTGTCTCCAAACCTGGCAGCTTTGTGGACTTCAACTCCCAGAATTCCTCAGCCAGCATCTCAGCCCAACCCAGCTCACGGTGCAAAACAGGAGGCGGGATTGTTAAGTATGGGTAGTCCTTGATGTACATGTTTAACATTAACAGCCTGGCTTTGATGGCTTAGTGGCTATAATTATGAGCTTGTTGATCAGAAAAGTTGGCACTTCGGTGGTTCGAATCCCTAGCAGTGCGTAAGAGAGTGAGCTCCCGTTCCTTGTCCCAGCTTCTGCCAACCTAGTAGTTCGAAAGCATGTAAAAAATGCAAGTAGAAAAATAGGGGCCCCTTTGGTGGGAAGGTAACAGTGTTCCGTGCACCTTCGGCTTTTAGTCCTGCCGGCCACATGACCACGGAGATGTCTTTGGCTTTGTAACAGAGATGAGCACCACCCCCTAGAGCCAGAAACAGAAATGACTAGCACATATGTGTGAGGGGAACCTTTACCATTACCTTTTACACACACACAATCGTATGCACAATTGCATTTTTGGCACTTGGCACCTGGCCTGCAGTCCCGGGACCAAAATTTACAAGGCTTTTGCCCCAAACCAGCATCTAGAGGCAGTTCTCAACTTATAACCCTTCATTTAGTGACCGTTCAAAGTTACAATGGCACCGGAAAAAGGGTTGCATGGCAATTTTCCACCCAACCATCATTGCATCCCCGCCATCATCAAAATTGGGATGCTTGGCAACTGACATGTATTTATGACAGTTGCAGTGTCCCGGGGTCATGTGATCCCCTTTTGCGACCAACAATGGGGAATGGGGAAGCCAGATTCTCTTAACAACTGCATGACTAACTTAATCAGTGCTTTTGAGTCATTTAACAACCGTGGCAAGAAGGTTCGTAAAATGGGGCCAAGCTCACTTCACATGCTTAGCCACAGAGATTTTGGCCCAAATTGTGGTCGTAAGTGGAGGACTACCTGTAAAAAAATACCTGTGGTGAATTTTACAATCGAGTGAAGCCATGAAGTCTTTCCAGGGACCAATTCTCCAGCGAAAGCCTCTGTTATGCCCCCGTCGGAGTCTGAATCCATGGAGGAGAATGAGTAGGAGTTGGGGCCAACAGAGGTCGAAGGGATGACCTCATTGGCTTTTTGAGGAATGCAGGGAAGAGCAGGGTGAGGCAGCCCTAATTCCCTCTAGCTTGGGACAGCTTGCCAGCAGGGAGGAACGGCGGCAGGATGACTGAGAGAGGGCAGGCAGTGAAAATTAGGCACGGCAGAGCTCAAGCGATGAGCAAGGATCGCCCCCTCGTGATCCCCGAGTATGGAGGGTGGAGAGGAGACAGGAACAGCGCAGGCAGGGGTCAGATGCTGCCAATGTAACAACCAGTTTGATGATTGTGTTCTTCGCACATGCGTGCGCATGAACAGCTTTCTAAAAACACCTGCTATGTTACTACTGGAGAGTAACACAGATGAGAAGCGGCAATCTGCTCTGCAGCGTGAACCAGCTGAGAGGATATAGGTAAGTACAGCGCAGGGTCAAGCAGGCGAGCCCACATCGCTGGAGAGAACTGGTTCACTGCCAGCTGATCGTCAGAGCTAGGGGTTCACCCAAACAGGTAGAATCTCACCTGAGTGCAGGCTGACCTGATTACTTGGGAGGAGAGTGCCCCACCTCTCTTCACAAGGGACATCTGGGGATTTGAGACTTAAAGGAGGTGCTCTGGGGAGGGGGCAGTTGTCAGGAACAAACACAGAATTTATGGAGTTGTGTGTGCACTGTTGCTGACATCTGGCATTTGGAGGACTGCTTGCTTCCTTGCTTCGTGGGTTCATTTCTTTGTTCCTTTGCCTTTGCTGCACTTCTTGTTCTCCTCAGAGCTGCTCGGAGCATCCAGTAGTGGGTGGTGCTTCAGTCTCTGCATTCATAGGCTGAGCTTGATTTTGAGGAACGCTCCTCCTCCTCCACGTGTCTCCTCCACAGCGTTCCCCAATTTTTTGTTCAGCCTCGTGCAAAACAGGCAGTGCATAGACTAGCTCCTTGGCTGATTCAGGATTTGTTGTCTTCAATTGCAATTTCGTCTGTATTTCAGGTTGGATTTGTTTCTTTTTCTGTTAGCCCTGCGCAAGTGATCTGTTCGTTTGCTATCCACCCAAGGGAAGCCTTTTTTTTTTTTGTGCCCCCACGGGTGGCAAGGGGGAAAACTAGTAGTGCCTTCGCACTACCCCCCCTTCCCAAAACTCTTTACCCTGCTTTCCTTGTTGTGCCGCTTCGCCTTTTTTTCGTAGCCTGCAGCTTGTATTAGTTCGGATTGATTTGTTTCATTTATCTCCCCCCTGCAGAACGCCGTTCTAGCGAGGAAGGGCTAATCCCCCCCTTCCCTGCCTCTCTCTCCAATTAAGAACTCAGGCTCAATTTCTTTAATTTTTGGGAAGAGAAATCCGCCGCTGAGTGGTCTGCGGATCCCTCGCATCGTTGCGGCCGCCATTTTGGAAGCCTCCTTGTGGCCGCCGCCATTTTGTTTGAGCTTTCCTTGCTGTGTGGAATCTCTGCTCAACTTTACAGGACCCATAGGCCTGTTTCAGAGCGATCTAACCTCACCCCTTGCCATTTGCAATTGAGGCTTTGTCTTTAAATTCTGGATTAATAGTTGGCTCTTCCCACAGCTTATTGTCAGCTGCGCAGTAGCAGCAGCAACCCACACCCAGTGTTGCCTGGGAAGGAAGGTTGCTGAAGGCCCTAGTTTTCCTTTACCTCACTGGGCCTCAGGCATTCTCCTTTTCGGCTGATTGGACTTGTTTTGTTTCTTTCTGTTTTTTGTTTAATAATAATAATAATAATAATAATAATAATAATAATAATAATAATAGTATAAAAAACATAAAATTCGAATGGGGGGAAAGTGAAATAATTATCAGGGCTCCCGGTCTTGCTACAGATTGGCCCGTGGGCATGCCAACCGCCTTCAATCCGACTCATCTCATATCCTGCAGTACTCATATTTGCCCACAGAAATGGCAGAGGGTACCTCCTCCAGAGGATCTTCTCTGAAGGCTAAATCTAAGACCCATCACTTGTGCAGGCAGGCTAAGGAGACCTCCAAGGCCTCCCAGAGGGATGCCCTGAGGCGCCATAGGGCCCTGGAGAAGGAGATTACCAGACGCTCTAAAGAGGCCCCTGCTTCAGTACTCCCACCCTCCACTCCCTCTACATCTGCTCCTCCCCCTCCAGATTTTCCTTCACTATCCAGGCGCAGCCCACCCTCTCAAGGTCATCAGTCGCTGATTCCTGGAACTCCGGCTAGAAGGGCTCCTGAAGCCACCTTCACGCCTACTGCTGCTGGCCTACGCCAGGAGGAATCACTCATAGATGAAGTTCCAAAGAAATTACGATCCTGGATGGAGTTGGCTATCTGCCAAGGCATCACGGCTGGACTTCAGCAAATAGCCAGGCCTGGGCACTACATGGCAGCCTCGGAGCATGAGTCTCAATCCGTAAGATCCATACCCAGATCGGAGCCGATCCATGGACAGGTACTCCTGCAGGGGGAGGTTCCCCCTGCAGTAAGGGAGGAGGAGGAGGAGGAAGGGGACCTAGATCTAATCAGGGAAGAGGAGGAGTTTGACTTGGGGTCTATGCAATACAGCGAACCCCTTTCAGAGGTGGACCCATTGGAAGGGGAGATGTCCGAGGATGAGGGTCTAACTCCCTATCAACCCGCCTTTGTGGGACTATTCAGACCTCAATTATTCAAGTCCCTTCTGTTCAAGGCCAAGAATATTTCGGGCCTAAATACACAGTCTCCCTCTGATCCCACTCCTCTTGCTCCGGAGGGCCCAGAGGACTCCATCTTTAAACAACCCATGGTGGAGGCTGAAGTCATCCCAACCCCTCCCATTTTTTCTGATTTGGTGGTTAAACAGTTGGCCTCTGCAGTGGCCCCCCCGCCCCAACGGGCCATGATAAAAAATTCTTTAATTTGGACCCAGAATTTTCTCAATTACTGGGTACCCCAGAGGTTGATGAGCCCATAGTTGGTCTCGCCTCTCCCTCCACCCTGAGTGACGCTCTGGAGGCTCTGAAGCTGGAGGAGAAGCGGGCCGAGCTGGCCTTGCGCCGGGCACACCAGTCAGATGCCTGGGCCATCAGATCGGCCACAGCCGCCTCTTTCTTCACTCGTTCATCCATTCGCTGGCTCCGCCAGCTCAAACAACACGTTCCACCATCCAATGTCAGAGCGCATCAGGACATCGCCAAGATCACGGCCGCAGCTGAGTTCTCGGCTGATGCCACCTATCACACTGTTAAATTCTCCACCAGAGCAATCACATCACGCGTCACAGCCCGCTGTCTGCTCTGGCTGAAACATTGGCAGGCAGACCTTAAGAATAAGGTCAAATTGGCTTCTGCTCCCATTGTGGGAAACAAACTATTTGGACCGTCTTTGGACCCCCTTTTGGTGGAGGGTCGCAATAAGAAAAAATTTCTCCCCTCCCTCACCCAGAGGTCAGAATCTAGAACCTCGCAGCCCTTTCGAAGAGGTCCCTTTCGGCCCTTTTACCAGCCCCCCTACTCCCCTAGGTATCAAAGGCCCCCACCCTTCGGGTCGGGTCGGGTCAACCCCAGGACCGTGCCGACTCAGCTGACAGAAACAGAAGGGGCAGTAACTACAAAAGGCCCTTTCGGGGTACAGGTAGCCAGCCCTTCCGGCGCTCCAGATAAACCATGTGACTCCATCCCCATTGGCGGGCGTCTTAAAGCATTTGCCAACCAGTGGGACTCCTCTACTTCCGACGCCTGGGTCAGGGACACCATCAGGTTCGGCCTTGCCCTTGAGTTCCAGTCCGCCTCCCCCCCCCCCCCCCCCCCCCCCCGATTTCTTTATGCCATGTCCTCTTTCCAGGGACCGGACCAAGCGTAACCTCATGGAGTCCGCTATCCAACATCTAATTGACATAAAGGCTATCCAACCAGTCTCTCAGGCACAACGGGGCAGGGTTTTTACTCCCATTTGTTCGTAATCCCAAAACATTCGGGGGGATGGAGAGCGATACTGGACTTAAAGCGACTCAACTGCTATCTGGTATATCACAAGTTAAAGATGCACACATTGCAATCCATCCTATTGGGAACTAGACAAGGGGACTGGCTAACCTCCATAAACCTGACAGAGGCATACCTACACATCACCATTCGGCCTTCCCATCACAAATTTCTTCACTTTTGCTGTAATAATCACCACTTCCAATATGTGGCACTTCCATTTGGTCTAGCCTCCGCCCCCAGAACCTTTACCAAGGTTCTAGCCACGCTAGCGGCCCACCTCAGGACCCTCTCTGTGCACCTGCAGTGTTACCTAGATGACATTTTCATTCTATCCCACTCTAAATATCAGGCAGTGAGGGACACTCAGGTTACCCTAGCCGCTCTCCAGGAGCATGGGTTTCTTATCAACTGGAAGAAGAGCCAATTGTCCCCTTCCACCAGAATAACCCATCTGGGGATGGTGATTGACACCCTGAAAGGGAAGGTGTTTCTATCTTTGGATAGACTCCTCAGTATCCAGAAAGCCGTTAGAACCATCAGACGTCTGAGGAGGGCTTCCCTACTGGAATTATCACAATTACTGGGAAAAATGATTTCATGTATTTCCATTATTCCCTGGGCCCATCTACACACCAGATCCCTCCAGTAGTTCCTGCTTCCATACCAGAGATCCGGCAGAAGCAACTCAAAACTCAAGGTCAGGGTACCGCCAAAGGTCCTCACGTCCCTCCTTTGGTGGAGCAAATCGTCCATTAACAAGGGCTGCCTCTTCAAGGAGCCCCAAAGACTTACTGTCACCACAGACGCCAGTCTATTCAGATGGGGTGCTCATGTTCAGTCCATCACAGCACAGGGCAGATGGTCAGCGACAGAGCGATCATGCAACATAAACTGGCTGGAACTTCATGCCGTGCACCTGGCCCTTCGCAGCTTCCTCCCTCAGGTACGCGGCCACCACATCCTCATCCTCACAGACAATGTGACGGCCAAAGCCCACATAAACAAGCAGGGGGACACACAATCATTACGATTAATGAGGGAGGCCGTGCGCCTCTGCCGCTGGGCGGAGTCCAACCTCCTTTCCATCAGGGCAGAACACATCTCAGGATTATCAAACATCCAAGCAGACTGCTTGAGCAGGGCTACCATAGACCAATCGGAGTGGTGCCTCCACCCATCCCTGTTCAAAGAGGCGGCATCCATTTTTGGGCAACCGGTAGTGGACCTGTTTGCCTCCCCCCTCAATGCCCAGCTCCCCAGATTCTTTTCAAGGTTCCCATCCCAAGGGGTGGAGAATCACAACACATTACATTGCCCTTGGTCCACGGGGCTACTATGCATATTCCCCCCCAGTGCTGGTGCCCAGGGTCATCCAGAAGTTGCTTCACGAGAAAGCGGAACTCCTTCTCGTAACACCTTACTGGCCCAGACGTCCTTGGTTTGCGGACCTCCGCAGTCTCTCAGTGGCTCCGCCCTGGAAGATCCCATCAGACAGGATCTCTCTGTCTCAGGGACCCCTTCTCCACCTGGACCCCCAATGGCTCCAACTAACCATCTGGAGGTTGAGTGGGACCGCCTAAAGAGGGAAAACCTATCTAGCAGGGTCATTGACACTATACTAGCAACCAGACGGCCCTCAACTATACGAATCTACAATGCCACATGGTCCATCTTTTGTAAATGGTGTGACAAGTTCCAAATTAACCCTGCTTCCCCTTCCGTTGCCCAAATTTTAGACTTCCTGCAGGAGGGACTCAGTAAGGGGCTGTCTCCTAATACATTAAAACGACAGGTAGCAGCCTTATCAACGGTTATCTCCTGTGAGGGAGTTGGTTCCCTTTCTCATTACCTCCGTATTCAGGCGTTTCTCAGAGGACCCACCAATTTACACCCTCCAACTCTACACCGGTACCCAACCTGGGACCTTAACAGAGTCCTTATCTCACTCACAAAACCCCCTTTCGAGCCCTTAAGGGAGTCATCTCTTCAGTTTCTAACATACAAGGTAGTTTTTCTTGTAGCCATTACATCAGCCCGTAGAATTTCGGAAATTGCAGTCCTATCCATTAGAAGAGACCTCTGTGTATTTCACGCTGATCGAGTGGTTCTCCGGCCTGATCCTACCTTTTTGCCCAAAGTCAATTCAGTTTTCCACAGAGCGCAGGAACTTATCCTTCCAAATTTTTGTCCAAAGCCATCACAGGAAAGGGAAAGACAATGGCACACACTGGATGTGAGACGCGCTCTGCGAATTTACATCAAACGCACAGAGTCTTTCCGAAAATCAGAGGCCTTGTTCCTTTCCTTTCAACCCAAGATGCAAGGGCACAAGGTATCACCGTCCACCATAGGCCGTTGGATAAGGGTGGCAATTGCTAGATCATACCAGTCGCAGGCCTTGCAGGTACCCAGAGGTATCACTGCTCATTCCACCGGGAGTGCAGCGACTTCGGCAGCTTGGGCCACTCAGTCACCAATAACCGAAATCTGCCGGGCGGCGACGTGGGCATCCCTGTCACCCTTTATCAGGCACTGTAAGATTGATGTGTTTGCCTCAGCTGAGGCTTCCTTTGTTAGAAGGGTTCTACAGAAGGTCCTTAGAGACCCCAAGGCGGTTCCAGACCAGACGGAACCCCTCCCGTAGGACAGGCCCAGCTTTGGTATGTCCCACTACTGGATGCTCCGAGCAGCTCTGAGGAGAAGTGGCGTTGGTACTTACCTGATACGCCCATTCTCTTAGAGCTGCGAGGAGCATCCAGCCCCACCCAAATTTCACCGTCTGGTGGGGTCTTGTTTCGGCCAATGAACCATTAGTTAGTTAGGATGAGAGCACGAATTTTTTTCCTCTTGTCTTCGCAAAACTGGGGAACGCTGTGGAGGAGACACGTGGAGGAGTAGAAGCGTTCATCAAAATCAAGCTCAGCCTATGAACGCAGAGACTGAAGCACCACCCACTACTGGATGATCCTCGCAGCTCAAAGAGAACGGGCGTATCAGGTAAGTACCAACGCCCCTTTTGAAGCCGTTGTACTAACAGTGTTCGCTGGACTGCGCATAGCCAGAGGCTGGTGTGTGTGTGTGTGTGTGTGTGAGAGAGAGAGAGAGCACTTTGCTCTGGGATTTGCTCAGTGGTGTGATTCAAATGGTGTAACAAATGTTCACTACTAGTCGAATCCCACCACTGGATTTGCACAACGTGGAAGTGTTGGGGGTGGTGGTGAAGTTGGAGCGTTAAAAGGAAGTTTGAACTCTCAGGTGGCTGTGTGCCCTTCGTTCCTTGTCCCGGCTCATCACAACCTCTGTTATGTCATCCAACATAGAAATACTGGTTTTTCGACCCTGCCTCTCCTCCCCAGCGGAAGAAGGGGGTCACCCCCGAGAACGGGAACAGGGAGAAGGATGGAGGGTCCCGCAGGCATCTGGTGTCAGTAAGTGGCAGCTAATTGTGTTGGGAAATTTGGTGAATTTTTTTGAGGGGGGGTCTGCAGGCCCCAAAAAGGGGCTTTGTGCCAACAAGAATCTCGCCGAAGGCCAAATAAAATCTTTTGAGTTTCCCTCACTGGTCAAGATGTTGCGATACGTGGGAATTCTGGATGCATGGGAATTAAGGAAACGGTATAAGAAAGAAGGGATAATAAAATAATTAAAAGTCCCTTTTATAAGAAAGGGACACGGTGGCTCAGTGGCTAAGACGCTGAGCTTGTCGATCAGAAAGGTCAGCAGTTCGGTGGTTTGAATCCCTAGCGTCACATCACGGAGTGAGCTCCCATTACTTGTTCCAGCTTCTGCCAACGTAGCAGTTCGAAAGCATGTAAAAATGCAAGTAGAAAAATAGGGACCCCTTTGGTGGGAAGGTAACAGCGTTTCATGTGCCTTCGGCATTTAGACATGCCGGCCACATGACCAAAGAGACGTCTTCAGACAGCGTTGGCTCTTCGGCTTTGTAATGGAGATGAGCATCGCCCCCTAGAGCCAGAAACGCTTTCCATTTTAGAAAAAAGTTGAATGCAAAATATATGACGATGCAGCTAGTCCTCGACTTACAACAATTTGTTTAGTGACCATTCGAAGTTACAGCGACAGTGAAAAAAGTGACAGGATCCTTTTTCACCCTTAACGACCATTGCAGTACCCCTCTGTGGTCCTGGGATCAAAATTCAGACACTTGGCAACTGGTTCATATTTATGATGGTCACAGTATAACCCCGTTTGTGACATTCTGAAAAAGTCAATGGAGAAGCCAGATTCACTTAATGACTCTGTCCCTAACTTAACAAATGCCATGATTCACTTAACAGCAGTGGCCAGAAAAGTCATAAAATGGGGCAGAACTCACTCAACCACTGTTTCATTTAGCAACATAAATTTTGAGTAAGTTGAGGACTTACGGTAGTATGTAAGAGAGTGGTTCCCAAAGTGGGTGGTACCGCCCCCTGGGGGGCAGTGGGATGACTTAGTGGGAGGTTAAGAGGCAAGGGGGGGTGGCAGAGGAGGGCTGGAGGTGGGCCCCTCACAGCGCAATTCAGCTTCCCCCCCACCCCACTTGCCTGGCTTGCTGGTGGCCAAGAGGAAGGCGAGCCAGGGCTGGCCTGTTGCTGCTTAGAACCCGCCTGGATTCTCCACAGCTGCTGGGCCTTGCCTGCTAGGGGTGGGGGTGGGGGGGGCAACCAGGGAGCACGATGCTATGCCTCCTGCATCGCTCCTTGCCTGCCACCCCTTCCCTCTGCCGCCCGCCAGCCTGTGCGCTTTGGCTGAGTGCAGGCCACCGCTGTGAGAATGATGTGAGTCAAGCCTCATGAGAACGGATCTTCCACTCATGGAGCTTGTATAGCGACAGCCCGCACTCGGCTAAAATGCTTGGAGGGGCGGCTGGCAGAGGGGCAATACAGGTGGCATAAGCCTTATGCTTCCCGGTTGCCTCCCGCACTCCCCCTCAGAAGCCGCAACCCGTGAGCCTCAGCAGCTGACGAGATGCGGGCTGGCAGGGAGCCGAGTAGCGATGGTCTGCCCTGACTGGCTCACCTTTCCCTCTGCCACCAGTTGCAGGAGGAAGGTAAGTTTGTAGGCAGTTGGGAAAGCCCAAACTACTGCAGTTTGGGCTTTCCCAACTGCCTACAAACTTACCTTCCTCCCACATCTGGTGGCAGAGGGAAAGGTGAGCCAGTCAGGGTGGGCTGGTTCACCTTTCCTGCAGCTCACTTCTCCCGCAGCTCCTGTAGTGGGCGAGGCTGCAGCCTCACTTGAAGTTCCCAGCCCTTTCCCAAAAAGAGGGACGGGTGGAAGTCCCGCCTGTGGCCCCTTTATTGGACCTGGAAGCCTAGCCTGCTGGCTTTTCCAGGCAACGCGGGACCAGGCGTGAACAGACAATTGTGCCCGGTCCCTGGGACTCTGGGAGACTCATCACAAGCGACGCTGCCAGGTGACTACCTTGTTGGAAGAGAGAGAGAGAGAGAGTTTCAGGTGGGTGTCCTAGGTTAGGAGGAGAGAGCGAAGGAGGAAGGGAAGGGATAGAGAGAATGAAAGAAAGAGAGGGAAAGAGAGAGAGAGAAGGAAGATTCAAAGAAAAAAGAGAAAAGGGAAAGAAAGAAAAAGGAAAAGAGAAAGGAAGAGAAAGGAAGAAAAGGGATAGACAAAGAAAGGGGGGGTGGAAGGAAGGAACAGAAAGAGAGAGAAAGAAAGAAAAAAGAAAGAAAGGGAGGGAGGGAGGAGAAAGTGAATGAGATATCTAGTCCAACCACCTGCTTCAGCAGGGTTAGAAGGGTGTGTGTGTGCGTATGGCTGTCAAAACTCCAAAAACAGGTCAAGTAGCTCTGAGGAGGTCAGTCATAAATTAGAACACTTGCTAAGCAACCGGCCATTAAGCGAGGACCACTTGTATTTGGTTTGCCAGTCACCTGGCCACGCCCACCCGGTCACATGACCACCAAACCACACCCACAGAACTAATTGTTAAGAAATGTGAATCCCACCCCTGGGTGGGGGGCACTGAGGATGAGTTTGTAGCACCAAGGGGTGGTGGACTGAAAAAGTTTGGGAACCACTGATATAAGAGGTAGTATTCTTCTTACAACCATTCACTTTAACATCTGTTCAAAGTTACAACTGCATCCCAATTTTCACAACGTCAGAAAAGCATTGAATACCAAATACTGTATATTGAAATAGTTGAAGATAGGCAGCCCTTGAGTTACAGCCATTGGTTTAGTGGCCGTTCAAAGTTACAAGGGGACTTGTGACCATTTTCAGGCTTACAACCATTGGAGCCTCCCCCATGGTCACGTGATCAAAATTCAGCCGCTTAGCAACGGCTTCACATTTGCAACAGTTCCCAGGGTCTCCCAGGAAAGCCCAATTCACTTAATAGCTGTGGGACTAATGCAGGGGGTCTGCAACCTTAAACACTCAAAAAAAAAAAACCCTGGGAGTCACAAAACCTGGGTGGGCGGGGCCAACTTGATGTCACTCACTCCCACCCAGTCACATGACCCCCCAGCCATGCCTACTCAGCCACAAAACCCTTCTCTCTCGCTTTCTATGCCTCTTCTCTTTGTATCTCTCCCCCCTCTCCCTCTCTCTCTGTATCTCTCCCCCTTCTCTCTCCCCCCTTTCTGTATCTCTTTATATCTCTCTCCCCTTCTCCCTAACTTCCTCCCTCTCTATTTCTCTCCCCACTCTTTCTGTATCTCTCCCCCTCTCCCTATCTTCCCCTCTCTCTGTATCTGTCTCCCCCTCTGTCTCTCTCTCCCCTTCTCCCTATCTCTTCCTCTCTGTGTATCTCTCCCCCCTCTCCCCCTCTTTCTGTATCTCTTCTCTGTCCCTCTCCCTATCTTCCCCTCTCTACCCCCTCTGTCTACCCCCTCTCTGTATCTCTCTGTATGTCTCTCTTTCCCCCTCTGCCTATCTTCCCCTCTCTCTCCCCCTCTTTCTGTGTATCACTCTGTGTCTGTCTATGTCTTTCTCTCTCTCTCCTCACCCCCTCTCTGATAGCCACGGCTGGGCCAAGCCAGCAAGCTCTCTTGGGGCTCTTGGCTATTCCTTTTATTTCTTCTTCAGGCGACCCCCCCCCCTTCTCCTCTCATGACCCTCTGGCAGGGCAGGGAGACCCTCCTTAAGCGAGCAGCCAACTGTAACGACTGCAGTGGTTCACTTAACAACTGTGGCACAGAAGGTCATAAAATAGGGCCAAACTCCCTGAAAAGCTGTCTTGCTTAGCAAGGGAAAATAAGCTCAACTGTGGTCATTACGTTGCAGTGGTTTGGTGGTTAGAAAGTCAGCTTCCTGCTAAGGGAGGCCACCGAGAAGAACCTTGCTTGACTCTTGGCGGGATGCATGCAAGGATGTGGATGCTCAGTGGGACAAGGTGGACGATCCCAAACCAAACGACAAGTGTCACCTTCTCTTTGCTTGAACAGATGATGAAGTCACCCAGAGGTCCTTCAGATCTCAAGGGAAGCGAGATCTAGAGAGGAACGTGGAGGGCCCGGACCTCTCGGACAAAGGTGAGCTTCACATCCCACCGACCATGGGTGAGTATCTTGCTGGACGGAACCACGATTGTTTTTCACGCCTGGAGATGCAAGAACACCAAGGACAGCTCAAATCCTGCTTGCCTTTCATTTTGTGTCCCTGTATTCCACACACTGCCCCCACACATTGCCGGGCTCGAACTGCGAGCAGGTTCTCAGGTTTGCTAAAACGGTGACCCGTTGGCTGTCATTCGAACTCCGAAAAAACCTCCCTTTAGGTGGGTGGGCCCACGCCTGAATGCAGGCAGTCCTCGACTTAACGACCATTCATTTTAGGGACTGAAGTTTTGACAGCCTTGAAACACGTAACTTGCGACTAGGTTTTCCACACTGAATGACGGTTGCAGCCTCCCCAGGGCGATGGGATCACAATTCAGACGCTTGGCCAAGGCTTCCTATTTATGACGGGTTGCAGCGTCCTGACTGTGGATCGTGTGCTCCCTCTTTTGCGATCTTCTGACCAGCCAGAAGCCAGAGTCACTTAAGAACATGTTCCCACCTGCAGTGGTGCAGTGGTTGGAACGCAGTACTCCAGGCTACTTCTGCTGATCACCGGCTGCCAGCAGTTTGGCAGTTCGGGTCTCACCAGGCTCAAGGTTGACTCAGCCTTCCATCCTTCCGAGGTCGGTAAAATGAGGACTCAGATTGTTGTTGGGGGCAATATGCTGACTCTGTAAACCACTTAGAGAGGACTGTGAAGCACTATGAAGCGGTATATAAGTGCTATTGCTAAATGCTGTTGGGCGCTAAAAGGGACACGGTGGCTCAGTGGCTAAGACTCTGAGCTTGTTGATCAGAAAGGTTGGCAGTTCGGCGGTTCGAATCCCTAGTACCGCGTAACCAAGTGAGCTCCCGTTACTTGTCCCAGCTTCTGCCAGTTCGAAAGAATGTAAAAAATGCAAGTAGAAAAATAGGGACCACTTTGGTGGGAAAGTAACAGCATTCCATGCACCTTCGGCGTTTAGTCATGCCGGCCACATGACCAAGGAGATGTCTTCGGACAGCGCTGGCTCTTCGGCTTTGTAACAGAGTTGAGCACAAACCCCCTAGAGCCAGAAACAGAAATGACTAGCACATATGTGCAAGGGGAACCTTTACCTTTACCTTTATTGCTACTCCTGCAGGGATTCACTGACCAACATTCATAAAATGGGAAGCAAACCTCCCCCCTTAGACTCCGTTGTGGTCGTAAATCGAGGTCTACCTGTATTCCACTCCAGCTGCTGGGCGTGGGCTGCATCTCCTCACCCCCATACCTGGGAGGGGGGGGGGCTGATTATTGTGGCTTTGAGGCTAGCTGCGGTTTTCCTCTTTCCAGCCGGCAGATTTTCCTCTTAGGTTGTCACCGTTGAACTTCTTCCTTCCAGGTTGTCCATCTGTCCGTCTGTCCATCTGCTGTGGAGAGCGGTCTCGGGGGCTTAACACAGACGGCAGTCATTCTTTCTGCTGCTTTGTAGGCCATTTCCCACCCCTCAAGGAGCTCCCCCCCCCCCCCCCCCGCCCCCGACCTCACATCTCCCTGACCGTCTTCTATCTAGACCAAAGACTCAGGAGGTGAGAAACTGGCCACGATCCTTTGGCCCGGTTGCGTTCCTGTGATTGGCGTGTTTTGTCTGTCTCCATGGTCCATTGCCAGCTTTTCCTCATTTTTTGTGAATTATTGGGAGCAAGCTCGGGTTGCACTAGTCTCCTCTGGATATAGGGGGTCCTTGACTTAAACCTTGACTTGTTTTCCTTTCAAAGGAAAAAAAAGGTGTCTTATGAACAGTCCTTGCATTTACGACCGTCGCAGCATGCTCTCGGTCACGCGATCAATATTCAAGCATTTATTTATGATGGGTGTAGCATCCCCGGGGTGTGTGTGTGTGTCGTGAAATTGCCCATTTGTGACCTTGCCAGCTGGCTTCTGAGCAGGAAATGGGGGAAGCCAGATTCGCTTAATGACCGCATGGCCTGCTTAACAGCTGCAGTTATTTGTTTCACAACTATGGCCCAAAAGGTTGGAAAAAATCAGGCATGCTTGACTCAGTCATCTTGCTTAGTGGCTGAAATTCTGGCCCCAATTGTACTCATAAGTTGAGGGCTCCCTGCACAGGCTAAAACGTTCTGGGTGCTCTGTGTCTCACCTCCTTTTCCCGGCAGTCCCTCCTGGGATGCCCATCACGATGTTTAGAACCCGTGTCCAGAGGTGTGGCCATCTCCCTAACCAAGGGTCTCCCAACCCTTGGGCCGTGGCCCACTGCCGGGCTATAGTCTTTTTAGAACTGGGCCACACAAGCGGAAGGCAAACGCATGCACATGTGTGACGCTGTTTTGCATAAGTGGCAGCTGCCGCTTGGTCTCGCATGCCAAGCTCCCCTTGCACAAGCTCTTGCGCACAGAGCTCCCTTTGCTCGAGCAGCAGCTGTGAGTGCCCACCGCTCACCGAAATGTATCTGCATGTGCTTTGGTGTGCCCGCCTTTCACTCACAAGAAACTATCCACCCTCTCCCCCACCGGGCCGCCAAGCCAGAAATGTTGGGGACTGCTGCCCCTAACCATCAAGACACAGAACAGATGATTCCGTTACCTTGGAAGCTTTTGTGTTGATGTGCAGTCCAAAGCAAAAGGAGTGGACTTACTTTCACATTATGCCCCCCGCCCCCTCTGGTCGGGTTCCTTTTAGTCAGGGCAGAGCAGGTGAGGATGGAAGAAGGAGTGGGCCTGCGTTCCCAGGAACAAGCTAGCAAAAGGCAATCTTGTTATCCGGGTTTACGTCGGGCACAAAAAAACCAGAACAACGCCGTGAGCCGATCCAAGCTGCTTGTTGATTGCTGCTTGCCTGTTGAGAAGAATCTCGCCAGACTGACTGCATTCACGTGGGAAGAAGCAGAGAAAGGCTTCAGGGGTCTCCCTCTACTCTAGCTGGAGATTTTCCCCTCCCCCCGAGGATCCCCTCCCCCATCGTCTTCGTTCAATCCTTTAAATTTCATGGGACAAATTGAAGCGTCTCGGGGTCCACGTCTGTGCTCAGGAGTGGACCACGTTCACTCTCTGGCTTAGGGGTGAGTTTCTGCCATTCCATGCTAGCCCACAGCTCCTTGTAGGCTGAGCTATTTTTGACGTGGTTTTGCTGCTCAGATACTGTGGTTGAGGGGGAGTCCCTTGTCTGCAGCTGCTTTGGCTATCTGTGGAGAAGAGAGCCTAGATTTGGCTCCAGTGGTCCCTGTATATTTTCCACCAGTTGAACCAACGTGAGTATGGGGTCTCCCCACTCAGATCCCACAAGTATTCCTTTGCCTGTCATTTGTAAAGCCTACAAACTTGAAATTTGGCATGTATCTTCCTCTTGGCTTCTAGGGGCTCGCTAAGAAAGGATTTTTCAAAATGACCATTGGAGCATTAGTATTTCATTAGTATTTCTTATACAGGAATTAACACGCTCTGATGCTAAGGAGTTCTACCCCTCTCCCCACCTGAAAAGAAATCTGTTCCAAATGCAAAACACAAGCACAGGAGGGGAGTTTCAGTTTCACAGCACCAAGCAGCTTTAGTACAGAACAGTTGAGCTAAGCCATGCCCAGGCTCCTTGCCGTCTCCTTGGTCACACAACAAATACTGTTTCAGTTTCCAAACAGCCCTCAACACTCACACACTGACAGGACGCTAGCCAGATGAATACCGATGGATGCTGGTAGGCAGAGGCAGAATTTTTTCCCCTTATTTTCCTCCCCCAAAACTAAGCCTGACCACATAGTTTCGCAGCAAAGCACAGGTATCAAACTAGTTTTGCATTATTTATTAAATGTATATGCTGCCCACCTCAGCATCGAGTGGCTCTCACAATAATTACAGCCAAAATGAAACCATAAATGCATTCAGATGGCTTTGTCCCAACCTGCTAAGCCAGGGGTCCCCAATCCTCAGGCTGTGGCGCACTACCGGGCCATGGCCTGTTTGGAACTGGGCCACACGTGTGGCTGGTTGGCATGCCTGCAGCTCGACTTGTGCGAGTGGCAGGCCAGTGCACGTGCACGTAGCTTGACTCCCATGAATGGAGAGCCAGTTCCCCTCTCCCCCTCAAGCCATAAAGGTTGAAGACCACTGTGCTAAGCCACCCTCGTTCAATTTGGGAGGGGGCAACCGATTCCTGGGATGGAAACCCCAAACGCAGGTTCGTCTTGGGAGCAGGACATCCAGGCGTGTCCTCAGGGTGGAGCTGGTGGGAGTTGATGGCCGAGAGGCTCCGAGGTGGAGACTCCAGAGATTGGGCAAGGCTGGTTTAGAGGCCACCTGGACAAAGACCTGGGCTGGGAGTAGCTGGTCGGCGAGCCACAAGGAGTTGCTGAGAGAGCAAAGAACTTAATGTAAGGACAAAGCTAACCCCCTTCCCCTGTCGGACTTTTTTCCGCAGGTGCCTTGGGATGAGGGACTAAGGACGTCCACATTGCTTCTCTCCCTTTCATCTTTGTATTTGAGACTTTCTAAAATGTGCTTAGTTGCTTGCCCTCTGCTCTGGGAACACAGTCATGTTCCCGGACCGGGTGGGGTACGATGATCCAGGATGAGGTAGACAGTGATGCCAATGATGTGCCCATAAAGCAAATCCTTTATGAATTACAGGTAGTCCTCGACTTACAACCTTAGCGATGTTTACAGAGAGCCTCAATCCTCCACATCAGGGTTATTCCAGAGATGTTCTTTTTCCAAAAGGCAACTTGACTTTCTGGAGGTTTTTTTTTTCCCCCCTTGAAAACCTTTCACTGCTCATCCCAGAAGATTCTTCAGGGTTGAACCAAAGAAGGGAGTGAAGTTCAGCGAACGGAAGAAGCTTCTGAGATGAGAAGCGAAAGGTTTTCAAGGAAAGAAAGCAAGAAAGTCCAGTTGTGGCCTTTGTCATATAATATATGCAAGGATATGCATTATTTATTTATTTATTTAGTTGTGTTTAGGTTGTATATACTGGAGGTGGTGATCTTTTGAGAGTTGTGTACAACGAAATTTAATTTTAATGTACGCCGATTCGGGTACATTTAAAGTGGAAATAAAGTTATTCTAAGTCTAAGTTACCTTTTGGCAAAGCACTTGTGGGATAACCTTAGTGACGGTTCACAGGTATGGCAGACCTACCAAAAAATGGCTTACACAACCCAGTTCTGGATTTAACAGCCCCTCATAGTGTCTGTGCAGCCATTCACTCTTACCACCAACTGTGTATCTTCTCCCTCACAAGGTCCCTGCAAGTTTTGGGTCTGCTTTCCCACCAGAGGTGGTATTCAGTTGGTTCGGACTGGTTCTGGCGTACTGGTTGCGGAAATTTTGACTAGTTTGGAGTACTGGCAAATAACACTTCTGGCTGGGCCCGCCCACCTGCACCCGCCCTTTCATGTCCTATATTTCCTTGTTAGCTGATTCATGCAGCAGAGCAGATTGCCGTGCCTCAGCTAAAATACAGCTCACTTCACTAGCACTGACACAGAGGGCAGTTTTTGAGTCCGTGATAAATTTGGAAACCCACCACTGCTTCCCACCCAATGTAGTCCTACACCCTCCTCTTCCCCAGTTTATCTTTTGACAATCTCTGGAGCTCCATTGCTCAGGTCAGGGATGGAGGATAGGCTGCCCCATGGCTGGGCTGTGTGGCGTGATCCAGGAAGCAGCCATCACTGCAGGGAAGCGGATTGGGAGTGGTCTGAAAATGTGGCTGCTTCTGAAAATGTGCCTTGCAACCCAGGAACAAAGCGGTTTGCTTTGCTTCGCGAATCACAGCTCCAGAGATTGTCGAAAGTGGACAATGGCTGACTCATGGTGAGGAGTAGGGTGTAGAGTACCCTGGCCTGGGATTCTCCTGCAGGGACCCGGAGGGGTGGGAAGTGTAGCACAGGGTGCCTCCAGCTGTGGAGCAGGCCTGTGCTAGAGCTCCCAAGGCACCTACCATGTGCTCGGCTTAACAAACCACATGGTTGTTTCATGGCAAGCTGGGTCATCTATGAGGCGATCACGGGGGTGCTTCACTTAACACTCATCATGCAGGATCTTTTACGGTTGTGAGTCAAGGTCTACCTGTCTATCCAACAGTTTTTGAAAAGCAAAACTATCAGCACTAAAGGGAGCTTTGGGGATGGTTGGCTGAAGTTGACTCCCTGCTGGGTTATTTTGGCGTAAGCAATCGTTCAGAATTCGGGTGCATCAGCATCCCCCAGAATTGGCTCCCATTCTTGAAAGGGCTGCTTGAGGTTCCCTCCCATTGTGCACAGCCAGAACTGACAGCATTTCCTTCGCGCAGAAGGAAAGCAAACCAGGCTCGCAGCAGCGCAGGGAAGAGGCTGGGTTCCCTCATGTGGCATGTTGGCAGGCGGTGCTACAGCGAGGCTGGAACGCGGGGGTCTTTCAGACATGCATAAAGAGGGTCCTCCTTAGCCCATTGACCAGGGCAGCCCGCTGGGTGGATAAGGCTGTGTCCGTTGGGAGAAGCATGCCCCATGACCTTTTCTTTCAATCCCCCCAGATGACGGGCTGGCCTTCAGAGCTGAGGTGCTCCAAGCTCAGCGAGTGCTGTGCAAAAGCTTGGGGCTCAAGTGCACAGATGAGACACTCCTCCATGCTCACCCGCAAGCAGCCTCCGTCAGCAGCCGGTACTTTGTACAACAGCAAAGGCACACTGAGAATTCCGGACAGGAAGAAGAGGCCTTGGCTGGAGAAGGCATCTTCGGTGGTCTGGGTGCCCCGACAGACTCAAGCGACTGCCCGGAGGACAAAATGTTCGCCTGCCCGGACTGCAGGAAATGCTTCTGCCTTTACAAGAGCCTCGTGTGCCACCAGAAAAGCCACGCCGCAGCACCGGTGACCTGTGAAAAGAGCTTCACCTACAAGCAGCAGTTCACCCTCCACCAGCACATCCACACTGGGGGCAGAGGGTTCACCTCGGTGGCCTGTGAGACCTTCAAGCAAAGCCATAATTTGAAGCTCCTTCCTCGGGGGCCAGGAGCAGACAAACTGTATGGTGGCGCCAAGTGCATGAAGACCTTCAGCATCAAATCATCCTATCGGCAGCACCCCAAGAGTCATGGGCACGAGCAGCTGTACCTCTGCAGCCGGTGTCCAGAGAGTTTCTCCCAAAAGAAGAGCCTTGTCACGCACCAGCGGCTCCACTCTGGGTGCGGCGGCAGCTCCCTGGCCTGCCTCTACTGCAGCAAGAACTTCAGCCACCGCTCAGACCTGGTCCGGCACCAGCACATCCACACCGGAGAGAGGCCCTACCATTGCAATGAGTGCGATAAAAGCTTCACCCAGAAGCAACATCTTATCCAGCACCAGAAAATCCACCTGCGTGAGCAGAACAGGTTGATGGGTATGGCTGTCCGGGAAGCTCTGCTGGACGCCATCTTCATTTAGTCCAGTCCTGTGAGGACACCAGACTACTTCAAAAAGGCATGTCCTGGGCGGACTCCCCCTCTTTAGCCCGGAGTTCAGATTCCCGGAGACATTGGTGCTCCATTGTAGCAACGACATTTTTGTATGGGGTCTCTATGCTTCCGAATGGCAAAAGCTAACAAAGGGGGTAGTAGTCAAGGACTTCCAGGGTTGTCATTTTGGTTTTCTTTGCAGTGTACAATACTGTAGGGTATTGTGTTTTCACCTAACCACAAGGTCTCCACATCAAAGTCCTGGAGACGGGGGACTGTCTAGAGGCGACCTCTCGGTTCACTGTTGAGTGAACTCAAATGGGTCTGAGCAGGACACATTTTTTTAAACGTACATTTTCTGGATTTCTTTTTTTTCTTTGTTGTTCTGTGGAAACTGAGAAATAAATTAGAGGAGTGAAGAAATGGCTTTGTGTGCGACCCTTGTTTTCCCCCCGACTGTGGATCAGAGTTGGGGGGGCACGTGTGTTAATTTTTTGATTGTGTAAAACTGCCTAAATGAACAGGAGCATCTTACCATCATCATTATCATCATAATTTAATGACCCCCATAATCCTTTGCAGAGTGGAGTCTGGGCAACTGAATGGAGCTAGCAAAGTGTTTAATGGCTGGATGCCCCTCTTGTCACCAATGAGGAGTTTTGTTCAACAGATATATTCTCATGATGCCCAGAGATAGAAATATCTGCCTCTACTTAGGATCGAACTCGCAGCCCCCTGATTGTGAGGCAAGAGCTCCACCTCTAAGCCACCGTACTACTTGAACAGGAGCATCTTATAACTGCCCCAAAATCCTTTTCCAAAATACATGAAGAAGTGGTTTATTCTCTAAATGCTTAAAAAAAAAACCCTGATAGATGTATTTAAAACAAATTGAAAGAATTGAAGGAAACTCCTTTTTTTTTGGTGGGGGGCGGGTTACATTAAGCCATAATGTGACTTAGCCATAAACTAACATCATTTTTCCTACTGAGGTTTTCAGCTTGGCAAACATGGAAATGGTTCGTCTGGAAGGTTTAGGGCATTGTACAAACCAGTGATTCTGGCTTGTCCCTCTCATAGGAAGCTAGAGTCCTGGTTGCATTACTGGCTAAACAAGCCATGCATTCTTTCTTCGGCTCCCCAAATTGCTAGGATCTGCTAGTTCAGGGCTTAGCAACCTGTGGCTCTGGAGCCACATGCGGCTCTTTCGGCCCTCTGCTGCGGCTCCCTGTCAGCTGATCCCACCACTGGCTGGCCCCTCCCCTCCCCATCACTTCTTACCTGGCCTGAGAAGGTTAAGGGTAATGGCGGGAGATGGAGACTCGCTCCATATTCCAGAGCAGGAGGGGACTGGGTGGGAGTGAGTGACGCTGAGTTGGCCACGCCCAGTCACACCAGTTGTTACATTATTGGCTCCCGGTGTTTTCTGTGGGAAATGGGTCCAAATGGCTCTTTGAGTGTTTAAGGTTGCAGAACCCTGTGCTAGTTAAAACACAAACTAGCAAGCAGAGCCACGTGTGAGTTGCAGTATGACTCCAGCCAGTGAAATAATTGCAAATCTGTGTATGTCGGTTTTGAATGAACCTTTTGATTTCCTGCAAAATCTTTGTGTCCATCATTTTCAAAAGGCCAAAGCGGGACCTTAAATGCTCATGTATCCACCAAAATTGGTGCTTCTTTAACTCTTTAGTGTCTTTCGATGTCGGTCCCGGAGGACAGGAGACAAACTCAGAAACAATGGAAGCTCCGAGTGCCCCACTCGCTTGGGGGGGTTTCCTTGCAAACGTTTCATGACCTACACAGGGAACAACATCAGTGCTTGAAGGAAGTAGGGTGTTGATGGGGAGGAGGAGGGTGATGACAACTATGGGGTCCTCGATCCTCTCTGGGTGTTTTCTGGCAGATATTTCATGACCCAACTAGGTAACAGCATCAGTGCTAAAAGCCTTCTAAATGCCTTCTTCTGGCATTGATGATGTTACCTAGTTGGGTCATAAAACGTCTGCAAGAAAACCACCAAGCTTAGAGATCACCTAGGACTCCATAGTCCTCCTCCCCGCTTGTTTGATCTGGGTTTATTCCTTCACCATCTTTTTCCTTTTCCTTTTTTATATTGTTACATGTTTTCAAATGTTTGAAGTGTTTTTTGTAACAATTTATAAACCGCTCAGAATTGGGCGGCTGTAAATGTAATAAATTATTATTTTGGTCCTCAAACAAACCATCCTAGTCTGAGAATATTCATCCAGCAGTCCTCGTGCGCCACCATCCATGAAAGTCAAGCACGAGACCCTAAGTTCCTTGTAAAATTGGGAAGGCTTTTTCACTTGTATTTCCTGGGTGTGATCTGCATTCAGCCTTGTGGAATTCCCCAGGGGAATTCTGGGAGTTGAAGTCCACCCGTCTTGAAGTTGCCAAGGTTGAGAAAAAATGGTTTGGGGGTGTGTGCTGTGCATTTCTATGTATGGTGGGAATAAACCATGATGAATGTTGGGTTTATGCTGTCTTTATTTCCCGCAGCCCTCACAACAAACCACATCTTAATCAAAACGGAGCCAGAGGACAACTCTGCAGCCCATGAGACCTGGATGATGGCGGGAGAGACATTTGTGGAAAGAATTATAAAGAAAGAAGAAGACTTCGATTCCTGTATGTGGCCAAGGGACTCTCTGGGGGAGATAGCTGACTACAGTGCCAACGAGGGCAGTCCAGTGGAAGAAGCAGCTGCTCGTGTCCACTGGCAGTGTCAGATTGGCCGCCAAGAGCCCCCACAAAGTTACAGAAGCCTCACCCCTTCAGGGCGAAATCTGTCCTCGCCGCTCGTGAACGGGAGCCCTCTGATGTCCCCTCATGAGATGGGGCAGCTGTCTGCCGGTCCACCGGGAGAGAAGCTGTGGGCTTGTCCACTGTGCCACCAACACTTCCGGCTCCACATCCACCTGCTGCTCCATCAGAAAACCCACCGGGAAGCACCTGCCGAGCCCGTGCCGAAGGACCCACTGGGCTGCCCCTACTGTCCCCGACGTTTCAGCCGCTCGGATCACCTGCTACGTCACCAGATGAGCCACACGGGCACCCGGCCTCATCAGTGCCCGGCGTGCGAGAAGAGCTTCACAGACAAAAGCAAGCTGACCAATCACTTCCGAACCCACACAGGAGAACGCCCCTTCCACTGCACAGACTGTGGGAAGCACTTCGTCCGGCGGCACCACCTGGCCAAGCACCAGCGCACCCACACGCGGGAGCGGCCCCACCAGTGCCCGCTCTGCCTGAAGAGCTTTATGCAGAAGCACCACCTGCAGAAGCACCTCCACACCCACACGGGGGAGAAGCCCTACAAGTGCGGCCTGTGCCCCAAGGCTTTTGCCTGCAAGCAGCGCCTGCTGCAGCACAGCTGTGCCTTGCCTCCGGTGTCCCCCTCCGAAACCGCCGGGCGGCCCTTGGCCCTCCTGAAAGGGAGGCCCGCTTCCTGACCCACTGATGCAACCAGGACTTTGCCCCACCTCACCTCCTTTGTTGGGGGTTCGTCATTCAGATGCAGAAATTCAACTCTCTGGGTGTCATGTAGCCTTCCTTTGTGGATTGTGTTCCTAGGGGAATCAGGCTGGTGAAGATTCTGTTTGGTTGGAAAGGGAAAAAAACACTGATCATCCCTTGAAGATTCTGAATCAGCCTTTGATCAGCCCTGGAAGGTCCTCCATCACCCTTCGATCAATTCTTGACAATCCTGAGTCAGCCTTTGATCAGAAGTTCCTTAAGCATTGGGCAAATGTGGTTGACCGATCACCTTCATCTTCATTTAGTCCATGGCCAACTCTGCATTTCATCTTTTAAGAAGGTCCCCAAAGGAGGCGGAGCTGGAAGTGAATGAGGAAGAGGCTGCTTTCTCTTGAAGGCTTCCTTGGAGACTCATCATCGTGAAGACGACGTGGCTGTTAGATCAAGAAAGGAATTCCCCTGGTTGTCTTGGACTCTGTTTTGGCTTCCCCCAGGCAGATCCTGGGCCCATCTGCCTGTAAACCCAAGTTTGAGAAGTGGAATGGCTTGCCTCCAGAACTTGTGGATGCTCCATCAATGGAGTTTTTCAAGAAGAGACTGGACCTCCGTTTGTCCAGAATGGGATACGGTCTCCTGCTCGAACAGAACTTTGGAGTAGAAGATCTCCGCAGTCCCTTCCGACTCTTGTTTTTATTCTTCAATTTCCAAGTAAACAGGACAAGACAGGATTTTGATCAGATCACTGCTGGACTTCCTGAACTCTCTGGAGCTCACCCCCCCCCCTTATTTCGAGGCCCAAAAGACCTCCTGAGAAGATGACATTTGTGTCTCGGCTGCTCACGTCACCTCCGAGACCATGTGTGGGAATTTTGTTGTTGGGATGGGGAGAGACACAGAAGGGAGATGAGGAGCCAAAGTGTGATTGGGACTGCATTGTTTTTTTTTTTCATTATGCTCGATTCGTATGCTGTTTTATAAGCGCTGTTGTAACTCTTGGAGGAAAACTTCCCCCAAAAGCTGAAACTTGGGGATGGGTGGTCGAAAGAAAATAGTTCTTTGCTTTTTTTTCTTTTTTCTTTTTAATCTGTGTAACATCTCTGCTTTCCATTCTCCCTCTTTTCCCTTGATTAAAAAAATTAAGATAAGCTCGTGCATGTGAGGAAACAATACAGTTTTTGTTTTTTGTTTTGGTTCTCCCTGAACTTTGGATAGGCTGTCAAAAATCAAATCTTCACAAAAAGAAGGGAGAACCTTAAAATGCTGGAGAAGGAATACTGTATCAGCCCTGCTAGATTTATCTTCTCTCTATATATATATGAAAGCAAAATACCACCCACGCATCATCACAAAATCTCCAGAACTATAAAGCTTACAAACTTGACATTTTGCATGTATTTTCCTCTTGGCTTCTAGGTGCTAACTAAGAAAGGATTTTTCAAAATGACCATCAGAGCATTAGTCTTTCGTATATTATTAACACGCTCTGATGCTAAGGAGTTCTACTCCCCCTCCCCACCTAAAAAGAAATCTGTTCCAAATGCAAAACGCAAGCAGAGGAGAGGAGTTTCAGTTTCACAGCACCAAGCATCTTTAGTACAGAACAGTTGAGCTAAGCCACGCCGAGGCTCCTTGCCGTCTCCTTGGTCACACAACAAATACTGTTTCAGTTTCCAAACAGCCCTCAACACTCACACACTGACAGGACGCTAGCCAGATGAATACCGATGGATGCTGGTAGGCAGAGGTAGAATTGTTTTCCCTTATTTTCCTCCCCCAAAACTAAGCCCGACCACATAGTTTCGTAACGAAGCACGGGTACCCTGCTAGTTCATTTATATGGCGCTTCGGCCCCAGTTCATTGTAGCGTTCAAGGCCCCTTTTGTTATGGGTTTTTTTTCTTTGCAGTCCTGTGGGGTGGTGGGCTGAGAGAGCATGATCACTCCAGATTTCAATCTCTGTCGTCCCTGTTCAGCCAACTGCTCTGTGGCCACCCATTTTGACCACTGATGGCACACCATTTCTTGTCAAGCTAGGAAGGCAGCCTTAGATCTGGGGCTACCTCCCAGAGAGTAAAGATCAGACAATATACAAAATTCAGATGCAAGTTAATTCCAGGTATTTGGTTCTGGTGGAGAAAAGGCCACTGGGAAGACAGAAGAACGAAGGCAGGCGGTGAATTTGTTTGGGTGGCCTGTAAGTATAATAATAGCAATTGTACGACACATGGACAGACTCCGATGTGGTTTCAACTGGGAAACTTGAGCCAGGGGTTGCCAACCTTTTGAACCTCAGGGACCACCAAACTCATAATTTTAAATCCCGCAGTCCACTAACATGAATTTTGACTGACGGTGGCTTGCTGACATTTTCCCTGGGTCTCTGCAGAAAGCAGCAGAGACCCTGGGAAAATCCCCCCAAAAGTCTGCAGGAAAATTCCCCACCCTGTTTTCCTACCAATCGATCATTCTTTATCTGGTATTGCAGGATCCCGTCTCCAGCTCCGTTCCCAGGGGGAGAGAGAGAGAGAGAGAGACTTTTGGCTTCATGCAAGGAAAGCAGCAGAAGTCTTTCTTTCTCTCCCCCAAACTCCGCCAGAAATGAGTTTTTGTAAGACTTGTCATGCCTTGCAGGGTCTCAAAGACTCATTTCTGGAGGAGTTTGGGGGAGAGAAAGAAAGACTTTCGCTGCTTTCCTTGCATGCAGCCAAAAGCAGAAGAAGAAAGAAGCTGAAAGAAGCAGCCTGGTGGCCAGGCCAGGCTCGTGGGGTGAGTCCCCCCCCCCCCTCCTTTTCCCCCCCTCCCCTCACTACCTCGTGTTGTTCTCAGTGCAAGCAATGCAAGCCTTGTGTTCCTGCAGGCCATGTGGGCGGTGCAGCCTTGTGTTCCCGCACAGCCTGGATTAATTGCTTTGGGGGTGATATGTCTCTGCGGACCACCAACATTTTCTCGCGGACCACCAGTGGTCCCCGGCCCACTGGTTGGCAACCACTGAGCTATGTCCTGAAACACTGGAGAATTTCTGGTCATTTGGCACTTAGAAAAATCAGCCATCGACGGGCACACTGTGAGAAAAGACCTTTACCTACCCTTCAAAACCGACAATCCAAATGCTAAGAATGAAACAAGATCGAAATACCTCCCACCAGCAGAAGTAGAAATCAACCCTGAGATTAATAGCAGACCAAACAGCAAACAGTAAACTACAGTCTAATCAAGAAAACACCAGGAACACACACACGCACACAACATTGACCAGGACAAGGCATTGTGTATAAAGAAAGAGCAAACCCTCATTCCCCTCAAGCACTGATGATGTTACCAAGTTGGGTCATGAAATGTTTGCAAGGAATCAACCAAGGTCAGAGAGCACCAAGGACACACAGTCCCCCTCCCCCAAAATCTCCACTCCTGTTAAGCTCTGACGATGTTGCATAGTTGGGTCATGAAATGTCTGCAAGAACATCACAAAGCTCAGAGAGCACCACGAACACCCCAGTCCTTCCTCTTCCTCCTCCTCCACAAACTCCACTCCCTTCTAGTACTGATGATGTTCCGTAGTTGTGTAATGAAATGTCTGTAAGCTCAGAGAGCACCAAGGACCCCTTGATCCCTCCTCCTCTCCACAAATCCCACTCCAACATTGACGATGTTCCCTAGTTGGGTCATGAAACATCTGCAAGAAAATCAAAGTCAGAGAGTAACAAGGACCGCTCAGTCCTTCTCCTCCTCCTCCTCCTCCTCTTTCTCCTCCTCCTCCTCTGCAGATCCCACTCCCTTGTAGCACTGATGATGTTCCCTAGTTGGGTAATGAGACGTCTTCAAGCAAACAACCAAGCCAGAGAGCACCCAGAACCATCCAACCTTCCTCCTCCCTTTCTCTTCCCTTTCTCCTCCTCCTCCTCCTCCAACCTCACTACCTACAGCACTGATGAAGTTGTCTAGTTGGATCATAAAACGTCTGCAAGAAAAAAGCCAAAGGCAACTTGTGTGGCTTACAGAATTGTGAACCCAGGCAATTGTGTTTTCACAGCGCCCTTAATTGTGTTAACTTGTGGATAAATCTATGCCACAATTTTTTGCTGCTCACACCAGTGTGATGAGACAAGACAGCAAAAGCTGTGGACCATCCTGCTTGGATGCCAATTCAATTGAGACTGACGGTTAGAGGTTCGTGAACAGGTTGATGGGTTCAGAAATGTCGGCTTAAAACATAAATAATCAACAGTGCCATTTGGGCTGCAACCAGTTTAACAACTGGTGCTATGAGTGTGCACATAGTTCACTGTTCACATAGTTCAAAACAGCCCATTTTAAGCTAACAAAGTTGCCTTAGATGTCAGCGCTTGTGAGTAAAACAGTTGAGGCGTGACAATCCGCTGTGCCACGTGAATCAGCTGAGGTAAAAAACGAATATAGGACAGGAAAGGGAGGGTGCGGGTGGGCAGAGCCAACTGCTGAACAGAACTACCAGATCACTAGAACTGGTCTGAACCATCAGCAGCCCACCACTGATCCAAACACTAGTCCAAGGGTAGGCAACCTGCGGCTCCCTGTCACCGGTTGGCTCCACAATTGATAGGGCTTTTGATTAGGACAAGTAGAGGAAAAAGGACGCTGTGCTAGGAGGAGACTCTATGGTGGAGGAACCGGACTTCCGATCAGCTCCAGAATTGAACAGAGGGCTTCCAGTTAGGACCTTTGTGGCTCTTTGAGTGTTTAAGGTTGCCGACCTCTGCACGAGCCAGTCGTTAATTATGATTAATGCAGGCCATTCTCAAACTTAAAACCATTCTTTTAGTGACCAAAGTTAGAACGGCACGGAAAAAAAGCGATGTATGGCATTCATAACCAATGACCTGGATCCCGTGATCAAAATTCAGACGCTTTTCAATTGACTCATATTTATGATGATCACAGCATCCTGGGGTCATGTGATTCCTCTTTTGCGCCCAGCCAAGCAAAGACAATGGGGAATCCTGATTCACTTAACGACCCACTTGGTAGCTGAACAGCTGCTGTGATTGGTTTTTAGCAATGGCAAGAAAGTTCGTCAAATGAGGTGCAACTCCTCTAAGTGCCTTGCTTAGCAAAGGAAACTTGGCTTGGTTGCTGTCATAAGTTGAGGACTGCTTATGGTTTCCCCAAGACCACAAATCCAGAGGTGGTATTCAGCAGGTTCTCACCAGTTCTGGAGAACCGGTAGTGGAAATTTTGAGTAGTTCGGAGAACCGGCAAATACCACGTCTGACTGGCCCCACCCCCATCACTTCTCTGCTTCCTGAGTCCCAGCTGATTAGCTGGGTCTTCTTTGGTTGCCCTGCACAGGAGAACGGAACTGGAAAGCAGGTTAGTGGGGTGGGGAGAGAATGGGGATTTTGCAGTATCCTTCCCCTGCCACGCCCACCAAGCCATGCCCACAGAACCGGTAGTAAAAATTTTTGAATCCCATCACTGCCCAAATCCCTTCGATATTAAAGGGAATTTACTGAAAAGAAAAACTCAGAGCTTGAGATGGAGAAAGTCCACAAAAAAGGTTAATTTTTTTGACCTGAGGGTAGGAAAGGAAAGAATGGACTCTCCTAATCGTGCTACGTTATGCTTGGTTGGGGATGATGGATACCGCAAAATGAAAATGAGGCAATAATTCCTGGCTGGCTGGCCATTTTGTTCCCTTGCTGGAGGATCAAAGAAGCATACTCCATACAGGTAAGTCCTTGCCTTATGACCACACTCGAGCCCAGAATTTACATTGCTAAAGTGTGAGTTGTGTTGAAGGGGAGTTTCATCCCATGTTACACAGTTGTTAAGTGAATTGCGGCAAGTGTTAAAATGTCATGCGAATCCGGCTTTCCCGTTGACCGATCCTGGACACCACAACCATCATAAATACGAGTCAGTCTCAATTTTGATCCACGCGACTGCAGGAATGCTGCAAAGGGACCCAAGTGTGGAAAACAGTCCCGTTTTCTGGCCCCGTAGGAACTTCAGTCACTAAGCAAACTGTTGTAAGTCGAGGACTACCTGGACAGTGCAGAAATCATACATTACAGCCCGTCTTTCGGGATTTGGGCAAAGTGGATCGGA